GGAGTTGGCCGGTTGCCAATACGGTTTCCGCGAGGGCAGGTCGACGCTCGATGCGATCGACTATGTGCGTGCCCTCACGGACCGGGTGGTCTCCCGGGGTGAGATGACGTTGGCGATTAGTCTCGACATCGCTAACGCATTTAACACCCTGCCCTGGGGCACGATCCGGGAGGCGCTCCGAAAACACGGATTGCCTCCGTATCTACGGGTCTTGTTGGCCGACTACTTGTCGGACAGGTGGATCGAGTACCACGGCAGAGGCGGGGTGCCGATGCGTCAGATGATCAGCCGAGGAGTGCCCCAGGGGTCCGTTTTAGGACCCCTATTATGGAATCTGGGGTACGATGCAGACGACACATTGATCACCGCGTTGGGTCGGGACGGACCCAGAGTTCTCAGGCTGGCGGAACTCGGGGTCGCGATTGTGGTCGCGAGGATCCGGGGTCTGGGGTTCCAGATCTCGCGATTCCATGGAGTGCCTCTGTCGCGGCGGGTTCCCCAGACCTGGATCCGAGTGGGCGTTGCGGCTGTCCGAGTCGAGGGCCAGATGAAGTATCTGGGTCTCGACCTGGACAGCCGCTGGCGATGGGAGGGGCACTTCGACCGCTTGGTCCCCTGAATTCAAGCGGTGACGACCCTGTTGGGCCGTCTCTTGCGAAACCTCGAGGGACCAGAGGAGAAGGTCCGCCGCCTCTACTTAGGGGTCGTGCGGTCCATGGCCCTGTACGGGTCTCCCGTATGGGTGTGCGACCTGGTGGCCTGCCGTCGTGGCCGGCACCTGCTGCGACGGGTGCAGCGTCACATGGCCATCAGGATCGCGCGAGGGTACCGCACGATCTCCCACGAGGCGGCGGCCGTCCTGGCGAGGGTCTTCCCTTTTGATTTCCAGGCGGAGGCGCAGTCCGACGTGTACCGTCGGCTGCAAGACCTCCGCCGGAACGGGGACGAACCGCCAGGCGAAGCGGTCGAAGTGCTCCAACGCTGGAGCGAGCGGGCGGCTCGCGAGAAGTGGCGGCGCCAGCTTCTGGAGAGGGGCGCCGCCCGGCAGCGTGCGTTGGGGGCGGTCAAAGGGGATGATCAAACCATCAAATTCGCCGTACAATTCACCTTTATGGATTGTACCAAAGAAACCTGACGCCGTTAGTAACAAACGTTGGCAAATGGTAATCGATTTTCGTGCATTAAACGAAAAAACAATAGGTGACAAATTTCCGTTACCCAACATCCCAGAAATTTTGGACAAACTAGGTGGAGCAAAATATTTTTCAATTTTTGACCTGGCAAATGGATTTCATCAGATTGAAATGGATCCTAAGGACACACCAAAAACCGCAGTTACCACTCCACATGGACATTATGAATTTGTTCGCATGCCTTTTGGTTTGAAAAATGCACCACCACGCACCTTTCAACGTCTAATGAACCGTGTAACATCAACACTGGAAAACGTACTTGTATTCATAGACGATATAATTGTTTTCTCTTCATCGCTTCGCGAGCATGAGATTAAAGTAAGAAAATTATTAAGTCGTCTCAGAGAATACGGTCTTACCCTACATACTAATAAGTGCGAATTTCTACGCAAGGAGGTTACTTATCTAGGACATATTTTATCTGCCTATGGTGTCAAATCAGATTCTCGAAAACTACAAGCTGTTACAAATTTTCCAATTCCAAAAACACAGAGGAATGTGCAACAGTTCTTGGGACTGACTGGATATTATCGTCGGTTCATCAAGGATTATTCCATTAAGGCAAAACCTCTAGTCCAGTTATTAGGAAAAGGAACTCCTTTCAAATGGACCGAAGAACAACAAAATAGTTTTGAACTTTTACGCAACGAACTCTGTACACAGCCAATTTTACAATATCCTGATTTTGAACGACCGTTCATTATCACCACAGATGCTTCAGACTATGCAATTGATGCAGTTCTAGGCCAAGGAGAAATAGGACAAGATTTGCCAATTGCTTACGCTTCTCGAAGTTTAAATTCAGCCGAGAAAAATTATTCAGCGCCAAAAAATATGCCGTGCAGTATTTCCGACCATATGTCTTCGGATGAAGATTCACACTTATTACCGATAACCGACCCCTAGTTTGGTTACATTCAGTCTAGGACCCCACTTCATGCTTAGTGAAATGGAAACTCAGACTTTTAGAGTACGAGTACGATGTCGTCCACAAATCTGGGAAAATAAACAAAAACGCAGACGCTCTGTCTCGAAACTCTCCTAAAATCTGTTTGCCGTTAATTCCACGAGAAGATAAGGAATTCAAAATACAAATTCCAAAACAGGATCCACCACGAGACAGTATTAGTCAACGCATCCGTGAATTGCATCAAGATCGCAAACAAAGACCCGTATACATGGACGCAACCAGCAGTACGGATGAGGAACCAAACACACCTCAACTTCAACCTCGAATCAGAAGAAGGAAGATACATCGAGACCCACCTGACAAATTTACGCCAATCATACGATCTCCACTTTCAACTACTTCCGCTCAAAATCTTTAGAATGTAGAAAACGACTCACGTCCAGACACTCCATTTATGCCAATCGCGCATTCCGCGCAAACCAATAATAATTTGATATCAACTCCAAATCTTTCTGAAACTCCATCAAATAGCGAAAATTTAATATCCTTTGACGAAGAGGAAAACGGACGAATTACCATAAGACCTGCAGGAGAGATACATTCACCCGCAACTGTTGAACCATCTGAAACTCCTTTACAACCAGTAGACACACCTTACGGTCAAGGATTACAACCACCTTTACAGCCTACGAGGGTGCAGTCTCCATCTGATATACAAACTCAAACAAACACCCCGGCACACTTCAGCAGTATCATACCAACCTGCTATGATTCATCTGTTGACTCTTCATCACCCTCGCACTATTTTGAAGATACATCTTCGGAAAAAGAAAAGTATAATCACGGTCCTTGTAAACTAACAACATCTGAAGAAACCCTCATTACCACAAAAACAAATTACGCACACCTAAAATCTGCAGACTGTCATTTGAACTACCCTGGAGGTAGAATGCTTGCAGACATTGGTTACCTCGAAACAAATAACCTCAAAAACAATAATCCAAAGAAAGGACAAGTGGTTACTACGACCATACAACAATATAAGATTTTTACTACCTTTGTTACTCAACATTATTGGGAGGAAATCAAGGAAGAAGATATTATTTCATCATTACAAAACTTAAGAATCGCGCTCTTAGAAATACTGGAAGAACAGCCATTCGTTTAGCAATACTTAGGAAACAGGATCGTCCTACCGTTCAAAAGTATCAAGCCCTTATTACTGTACTGCCAAACATCAAAACTACAACCATAGCAGATGCATTTGCAAGACATTTCATTTCAATTTTCGGAACACCCCGTGAAATTCTAACGGACAAAGGAACAAGTTTTATGGGCAAAGATATCACACATTTGGCAGAAATCTTCAAAATCAAGCAAGTTACTACATCAGGATACAGACCACAAACCAATGGTTCTCTGGAAAGAAGCCACATCGTTCTCATAGAATATCTGAAACACTACATGGATTCGTACGAAGATTGGGACCTATACATACCATTTGCAATGCTGTCATACAATACATCCGTTCATGAAGCTACAAATTTTACCCCATATGAACTTATTTTTGGAAAACCAGCACGATTACCAAGTTCGTTTCCTGAAGGAGATGATTTGGAAACGTATGGAACTTACCTCACCAATTTGATGTACAAAATTAACCGGAATTCGCAACATGGCAGCAGACAATTTAAACATTGCAAAGGAACGATCTAAACGCTACTACGATAGACACGCAAAACCAGTTCAATTCAAAATTGGTGATTACGCTTATGTATTAAAGGAACCCAAAAGCAAACTAGATTCTCCTTATGTCGGACCATATGAAGTAATAGACGTAACAGATCTAAATAACATCGTATTCAAAACAAGAACAGATAAAGTTATTAGAAAACATCAAGATAAATTAAAAATTGCATACTCCGAATAATAACCCAACCATTTACATAACCACAGACAACCGAACCGGCCATAGCAACACCACCCAGGACTACAACCGAAGAAACCCCTACAGTTAAGTGCCTACATATATACACATACAACACGCACACTACACCGCAATAGTTCCGTTTCGTTCGTATAGTCAACATTTAAAAGCATTTTCTTATTTACTTTTTTTTTTATTTTCCTCTTATTATTATAAGTATTTTTTTCCTTTTTCTTTTTATAATCAGTTATAATTTCGGTACACAGCCAACTCCAAATTGGGAAAGCATCGTAATAAACGATGTTTCATCTTAGGGGGGAGATGTTACGTTCCCGTTCTAAATTTCCTTATTTGGAGTCGGATGTGCACACCCGGTATTTTTCACGTAGGCATAGGAATTCGAGTCCAATGCGAAGCTAGAGCGTAGTCTCTCGGAAATCTCGGAATCGTGCAATGTACTTCCCCGCCACCCCTTGGCCTATGATTTTTGGGTATAAAAAGGGTGACGACGCAGGCATATCGGGTCTAGTCAAAGTCTAGAAAGGGTTCCGTACACGTCTGTGAGTACTCTTACGGTATTTCTACACGAGGAAACTTAGTGAGATCGGGTTCAAGTCCCCTTCCAGCAAATTTTAACCATACAGTACGTAGTCTACTGTTAGGCATTTATTTTATCGTTGTAGTCGTCCCCCATTTACTCGCGTTCGTGAAAACCGAGAAGGATTAGATTCTAGCTTCGCGGAATCGAAACTCTATTTTAAACTCAGTTCATATTTGTAACATAGTTTACCATTAGTACACCGCGACAATTACTCTTATAACAATTGTAAGTCCCGGTGCATATCAGAATATATATATTGGGAAATTCGTAGTACTCGGGTGATGGTTTAACGAAAAATTTTTATTATTATTTAAATTTATTATTCATTGTTAGGGTTTCAACTATTTATTCCGTGTTTTTGTTTTTTTATTATTCCAGCTCGCCGATTTGGAGTTCCTTGATCATGGTGCTTCGGATCCGCGGCACGTCTGTTTCGTGGAAGTTGATCGGCGCCCCTGTGGACAGCAGCTTCGCGTACATACAGGTAAACACTCCGCAGTCGTAGCTGTTTGATTGTCGCGGTATCTGTTTTTTGTTGTATGTGTTCCAGAGTCCCATGTTTAGCATCACTTTTTTCTTATCCCAGCTCTCCTGTGCCAGGTACGCGAGAATTATTCCTAGGCACTCGTCATTGTCTCGTCCCAAACTGTCGTAATATTTAATTGTTTTTTTTCTGTTCTCGATAGCAACGAGCGTCCAATGGTTGTGTTGGTGCACTGGGATGACGAGAAGTCACTTCGAGAAAATGTCGACGGCTTTAGTCCACTGTTTCACTGCGTTGAAACCTTGGTTCTTCAGTGTGGTATAGAAGAAGGAATTCATAACGTGAACTCTTGAAGGTGAGATTATTTCACTATTTTTTTGTATTAGGCCCATGTAGGCGTTGATGGCTTGGTCGTTTAGCCAGTGATTTCCCTCCAGCGTGGTGATGTCCCTTCCTTCCAATGTTTGTGGAGTGGTTTTATGGATCACTTCGCTTTTGCAACACTTTGCGTCTTCGTTATTATTCACATCTATCGCGACACAGTCTGAGTTATTGTCGTGTGAATTTAGCAACGCGTTTGTGGTCGGTAACCGTCTTTCTTGCAGGTATTTCCTCACTAATTCGGTGGTTGGTTGGAGGTGCCCGGCACTTTGAAGTTTCTTCTTCGCGATGTAGAAGGCGCGGTTCTGCTTCCGTTTTCTTCCTGATGTTCTAATTCTTTTTTCCCTTAGAACTTTCATTGTTGCGCGTCGGTATACTTTGATTGGTAATATGTAAATGATCGTTATCCTTTGTCGAATCTTTAGAGGGATCTGAATTACTGCGATATGTGCATTGGTGGGGGAATAATCGAAACCTGTGGTGGTTCTGGGTGATTGATTTGATATCGCGGTAAATTTGAACATTGAATTTCTGGTATATATATACACTCTTTTATGTACACGTGTACTGTGATGTGTACATCTTGTGTCTTAGCGTATACTTATAAAATACGGACTAATACAATACTAAACTTATTTACAGAAACATAAAATATCGTTAAATTAATTAAAGAGAGTAAACAAAGGTAATTTTTCGTGTCCAAGTGACATTTCCAAGTTTTATATTGTCTCCCACCGGTTTAGTCTATTTTTTTATACGAGTACGGTGGTACCTATACTTCCGTTGGTGGGCTGTATCGAGACGTCGTTGGGGTGTCCGGGTCGAGTATTCTCTGCTTTATCCAGACGTCGGTCCTGTGTCCTGCCAATGCGTCCTTGAGTCGTTGATTTTTCCATGTGGGGTCCATTCGTAGTTTATCGGCATGTACTATCCTTGGTCCGTGTTTCCAACTAATTTGAACATTGTTCTGTGGTAGCGTGTTGATTACGACGTGGGGCCCCCTATACTGGTCCCCGAATTTTCCTTTTTGTGGTTCTACCAAAACCCACACTTTGTCGCCTGCTTGGAACGGTTCGCCATGTGTGTTCTGGTCGTAGTATTTCTTGTTTCTTTCCTTAGATTGCACTAGATTATCTCTCGCTAGTGTTTGTGTGTTCTCGAGGGCATTAGTTAACTTGTTGAAGTAGTCTTGGTAGGTTTCGATTTCGTAGTCTTCTACGCGGGGCTGTGAGCTGGGTATCCGAGCTTTTCGGCCAAACATGAGTTCAAACGGGGTGAATCCTGTGCTTTCATGGACTGATGTGTTATAGGAAAAGGCCGCCAAGTCAATCCATTCGTCCCATTGCTGTTGTCTGGTTTTGTACGTCTTCAGGTATTCCATGAGAACGTGATGGGCTTGCTCCAGGGATCCATTGGACTGAGGGTGGAAAGCGGTTGTCTTTTGGTGACGAATGTGGAATCTCTTGAAGATGGCTCTCATGAAGGCGCTGGTGAAGTTAGTTCCACGATCGGTGAGTATGGCTCGGGGGAACCGTATCGGCTTGTGAGGTCTTGTATTAGCGCGTGGGAGACGGAATTAGCGTTAGCATTCGCGAGAGGGACACAGATAATATATTTGGACAGCAGGTCTTGCATGGTCAGGATGTATGTGTTACCCTTTGGTGTTTTGAGTAATGGGCCCACTATGTCCATGGCGATTTTGTCCATAGCTCGTCTTGGGGTGTCCGTAATAACCATGGGTTGTTTTGTTTTGACCCTGACTAGTTTTTTCTTTTGACAGAGTACGCAGTTGTTTACAAAGTTTGTCACATCGTTTTTCATTCCCTCCCAGTAGTATAGTTGCTTAATTCGCTGGTAAGTTTTTGTGATGCCTTTGTGTCCCCCTACCCCAGAGGAGTGATTTTCATAAAAAATTTCTGGTATCATGTTGGTGGTTGGATTGATAATCCTTTGATGGCAGATCGTGATTCGTGTTCCTTCCTCCTCCGTTATTTCCGATATGTTCTTAATGATGCGGTTCCACTTCAAGTAATCTATTGTGGGGGTTTGAGCGATACTTATACTATTGATGTTTATTTTCCGAATTATTACTCTTAGTGTCCTCAAGGCTTCTAACCAGATGCCGGGCTGTACCGGTGTCTGTGGGGTTCCTTTTATCGTTAGGCCGATTAGATATCTGGGTCCGTCCTTGATTACCTTAGCTTTGCCCAGGGCGAGATCTTCATTAATGTGGATAATCCCGGCGTCACTTAGTTGTTGTCCTCCATTATCGCATGGCTTACCGTTACAGCTAATGAAGAAACCGATGTTGTCTTTCTGCTTTGCTATCGATTTAATCGCGTTTTTGGTTTCTGGCGTGTCTGTTTCGCTGAGTTCCGTTTCGCTGTCTTCCTGATCGCTGGCTTCGGACAGTGTTTGGGTGTCGGTAGTTTCCAAAGGGGGTGGGACCCTTGGTTCGTGAAGGTATGGGTCTGGAGAATGGTTGGGGGAGGCGCAGGGCAAGTCTTGTTTTTCCGAAACGGAGGAAGCGTTTCCCCATGAGGCTCCGCTGCTATTTACTGGGGGTGTTGTGGCAGCGTTAAGCGTCGTTTCCTCCTCTGTGGATGACTTCCGGGTTTGCCTCCTTTTGGGGGGCGATATGATTCTTTCGTACTCGGAGTCCTCGTCTGTTGTTCTTCTCTCCCTGGGTGGAGTGTCTTCATTGCTGTCTTCGGTGTGAATAGGGGTGACGTTTAGAGGTGGATTCCTGGACAGTGCGTCCGCTACTTTGTTTGTTCTCCCAGGCTGATATCGGATATTATATGTATACTCCGCAAGTTTCAACCTCCATCTGACCAATCGAGAAGTAGGGTCCTTGACTCTATGTAGCCAAGTTAGGGGCTGGTGGTCTGTGTATAGGATGAATTGGACCCCATAGAGGTATGGTCGGAAGTATCCCATACAGTAGACTATTGCTAATAGCTCCTTCTCTATTGTAGAATAGTTTATTTCTGCGGGATTCAGTACCCTGGAAGCGTACCCTATTGGTAGTTCCTTTCCGTCTAGGGTTTGGCTTAGTACTCCGCCTATAGCATAATTCGAGGTGTCTGTTGTGAGGTGGAATTCTTGATTGAAGTTGGGGTATTGGAGGATGGGTTTATTGGCTAATAGTTGCTTCAATTGTATGAATGCTTCTTTCTGCTGGGTTTCCCACGTGAATATGGCCCCTTTCTTTGGTAAATTGATGAGGGGTTTGGATAATTTGGAAAAGTGTGGTATAAATCTTCTGTAGTACCCCGCCAACCCAAGGAATTGTTTGATGTTACGGGGTGTCTTGGGAGTTGGGAATTGCGTGATGGCTACGGTTTTGCCGGTGTCTGCCATAATACCCTCCTTGGTAATAATGTGCCACAGATAATTAACTTCTGTTCTCAGGAACTGGCACTTGCTGGGCTGTAGCTTTAGGTTTGCGGCTCGAAGCCGGGTAGCTAATTTCCGGAATTTTATAGTGTGATCGGTAAAGGAACTGGCGTAGAGAACTATATTGTCCAGGTAGACAAATATCTCTTCTCCTTGCATTCCTGAAAGGATGACGTCCATTAGTCTTTGGAAGGTCGGGGGTCCGTTTCTTAATCCGAATGGCATACGCACAAATTCGTAGTGTCCCCTTGGGGTGGAGAACGCGGTCTTGGGTGTGTCATTTGATGGAACCTCGAGGCTAAGTCAAAAATGGAGAAGTACTTGGATCCTCCTAGCTGGTCTAAGATTTCTGGGATGTCCGGTAAAGGGTAGGCGTCGGCGATGGTTTTGGCGTTTAAGTCCCGGTAGTCGATGACCATCCTCCATTTCTTCTGCCCGTCTGCACCGGGTTTCTTGGGGATGACCCATACAGGGACGTTGTAGGGTGATGTTGTTATCTAACATTTCCTGTACTTGTTTCTGAATCTCTTGTTTGTGGATTGTGGGAAATCGGTATTGTTTCCTGTTAATTGGCGTGGAATTGGTCGTTCGGATTTCGTGTGTTAATACGTGGGTGTGTCTTAGGTGTTCCCCTGGCAAATGGAATATATCCTGGTAGTCGTAAAGTAGTCCTTCGACTAAGTTCCTTTCTTCCTTGTTGAGATGTTCCGTGGGCACTTATTGTAGTAGTGGTCGAACTCTTTCGTGAACGTCCGGGGGGTGTTCTTCGTCCTTGATGGGGTAGCATCTGTAATTCGGTGATTCCTGGTTTTGGGGTATGTCTACTGCTTCTAATTCTAGAAGGGGTTGAGTGATGTAGGTCTCCGAAGCGTGAAACTCAAGAAAGCGCTGACCGTAAGATAAGCACCTGCGAGTGCCAAGCATAACGCGCATGCGCCAATTAGCGATAAATATGAGCCCTGCGCGGCTCCGCCAGACCAGTTTTCAGTTCAGTTCAGTTAGTCTCTCATCGTTCACATCTCAGTCCGCACAGTCAGTTCAGTTAGAGCAGTTAGTCGGTACACACACTTCATTCATTTCGTTCGTTTTACCAGCGTCCGTGCGAGTCAGACGCCCGCAGTTCGCGCTTTATACTTCTTTTGTGAATCGTTATTGTTCATTGTTCCGACGCATTGTACGTCTTCTTATTATTTTAATTGTCATAATTCCTGCGCATCGTACGCCCTTTATTAGTTTTATTAACGATTAAATAAAGTGTTTTTACTTGTTACCTCATTATTGTGCGCGTTTTATTAACGACCCTCAAGACCCAGATCTGCTTTAGACTAATTTAAATTACTTCTTTGATTACGGTAGCATTCGATTCCTGTGTTGTCGCGCTCTTACCAAGGAGCGAAGACTCAGAGGAACGACATTTGATCTCTCCAACGCAATCTCGAGATTTGGATTTCTTCTTTCATCACCAGGGTCGCTTGACAGCACTCGGTATGGAAGCAGAGGTATAGATCTTGTGATATTTATTTTCAAAAGTCATTCACGGGCTTTCCATTTTTCGCTTCATAGCTTTAGTTGCTACTTAGCACTCGGCCTTGTTGTGTTTAATGCCAATCCCGTCCGATTTGAACTATTCTTTCTGTATAATATATTTCAAATCATTTCAAATAGAACAATAAGCAGAATCTTCCACGGTCCCGCACACGTCGTCCGAACAGGAGGAGTCGTCGCGGAGGAATCAAGAAACATCAAAAAAAGAAGCTCGCGAAATATCTACATAAATTACACGACGATTTAGCTTCTCGCGTCAAAGCATTACAAGTCGCGCTCGTCCTATATCAGGAACTTCTCGTTCACCCGTCTAATCCCGGAATCGTGGTTAACCAACCGTCATCGCCTATCGATTCAGAGGCTTCTACATTTATTCTCGACGATCCGTCAAATTTCGACGAGATCCCAGTCATAGACCTGACTGAGGACGGCGACGAGGATGCTTACCTGGAAACCATTGACACAATCACGGCTCCTAAGGTAAACGATCATTTTGAAATTCCGGGATATCTCTTAAAGACATACGTTAATAATTACAGGGACATTCTAAATAATTCAATACCAGCGTCCATATACGAGTGGTAAGAAAATCTTTATTTTTATAATAATCAATTACAAATAAATTCTTGTTATTGCCCTTAAACTCCCAATATCGACTGCTACGCTTGTAGGGACGTGTATTCGTCCGCCAAGCCCCTGGACAGTCGACGAACCCACCTCAAATAAAATAAATCATATTAGAATAATCGCTAATAAATAGGTTGTTACGAGCCAGGGCGATAGCGACGCGCGTGTGAGCCCAGCGAGTGGGATAGATTTGAAAATTGAACCAATACGATTATTTATTATGTATCAATGGTGCCGAAGATTTTAGGATAGATTAGATAATGCAGACGACTCTGACGCGAAGTCAGATAGCTGCAGGAATCGGTATCTCCCAGTGA